ACCAGTACCGTGGCTTCCATCGCGACAGGGGCAGTTTTGGTGTAGTGATTTCTCCGTAGTTGCGGATTATCACCCGTCGACAAAGACGTGACACCGCCCAAGATGTTCAAGCGACGAACCCTCGGTCAGGTGATGTACGGAGACGCCAAGGTGCCAGGGACTCGACGGCGTCACCTCCGAATGTTCAACAAGTATCGGATACGGCCATATGTCACTGAATCCAGGCTGTACTTATTATTAATAATGGACTGGCCGGATTCGCATTCAGCGGACCATCTACGGTACGAACCCTCAGTGGCGGTTGGGGTGAGTTCACGGAAGACTCAGCGACCTTTGGAAGACACGTTCACCGTCTGGGACAGGGCGCGGACCGTTAAAGATGCTCATGCGACGGTGCAGACGACGCTTGACGTGCAAGAAGATCCATAACGGATCATTGTTCACTTGATATTTGTATACTTGATTAGGACTTCTTATTAGGAATAGACGCGAGAGAGTAAGCTTAAATACAGAACAGAATTTCCACTCAAGCACACAGAGCGACGTCCGGCTTCAAGGTAAGCGTCAGGTCAAGCTTGTTTGAGTGTGTTATGCCTGTCGGTGAGCTCGAAGCTCTGTAGCGAGGGTTCATCCGGCAAGGCCAAGAGACTTTGTGTATTGGCCGATTATTATCGGGAGGTTTTACGTGACGGCTTATTGTTGCCTATTTGCACGACTGGGAGTGCTTTAATTGCCCCCCTTTTATTCTTCCTACCGAGTGTTGAACACTCGGTGATCTCGTAAAAGGCTTACCCGTGCCTGGTACCCTTCCGCTGTTGGGACCACGAGGATTCAAAACACCTGCTAGCTTTGCTCGTGCTAGTAGCGTGTTCTTATTTTTACCGGTTGGCCTATATAAGTAGTTTACAAGGTCCAGTTTGTCCCGGTGCAAGGGCAGAACTGGGGTCTTCAGGTCCGCCCAAACGATCGTTTATTATCCTAGTAGACGTATTGTTGTGGGAACATCCTAACTACATTTGTAGCTAGAGTTCACGTGGGATTTCCAACACTACATAAGTCATTTAATTTTAGTTGTGGTCCAACCTCTGTCACGACAAGTACTTTTAAATTGTATTCATATCAGCGGCTTCGACGATGTTGCAGGTGTTTCAGACTCATCCAGGACTTCCTTATTGAGGCAAAACAGTGTACAAATTTTGAGGTGAAGGTTGGGGCAGCGGCTGAGACTGTACTGATGAGTATAGCATAGACACAACCAGCTTTAAAGGCCCTTATGTCGGAGCCTCAATGGCCACTGACCTCTGCACATATTACTGATGCGTCTCAATTCTGAAATATTGCATACGTCCAGCCCCCGAGTGCTCGACAAGGAATCGGCGGTACATTTATAGGTGTCATCGTTCGCCTACGGCTGCATTACTAACGTCTATTCTACTGACACCAGGTACCTGTGTAACGTGACTCACGACGGGCGTGAGTAATCGTGTTTCCATGTGTGGCATGGTGACTGACATAGTCGCCTCGACATCCTTCCCCACCTGCACATGAAGAACGCGTTGCAAGACCGCCCGCCGCCTTCGCGTCCAGGAAAGAAGCGACATCGTCGCGTAAGTGCAGCAAATACGGTGAATAACAGCAAAAGTGGTGGTGAAGGTCGGGGGCTCATTCCCCTCTTCCCTCATGCTTTAAGTTTTTGCGTGACCTTTGTTGCTCAGTCCGTCTTCCCACTTTAACAGCCGCACGGTTACAATGCTCACCATCGGCCGAGCACACGACCACGCCACCAAGCAAAAAGTGCGATACTTCTCGATTTATGCGTGTCATCCTTGCGCAGGGGCCATGCTAATCTTCTCTGTATCGTTCCAATTTTTACGGATGACCACCGAAGTGGTCCTACCACACGACCTGCGTCACCGACATATAGCTGCTAGCCTTGCACCTCACATCCAGAACCACTTTCGTCGAAAAGGGAAGGACTACTAGCCCAGTTCGGGCATCCACCAGCATTTCCAGATTAGCTGCGCAATGTCTTCACACGCTTGGCCACGTGTGTTGGTCGGGAACACTATCCAGCAACAAGCAGAGGTATCTATCTACCTGGTCAGCAGGCCAGGAAATAGCCGCTTTTGCTACCGCGAGTCTGCTGAGGTAAGGGAAAACGACAGCTGTGAGATTCGAACTCACGCGGGTTGCCCCATTAACTTAGCAGGCTAACGCCTTAACAACTCGGCCAAGCTGTCATCGTTATTGAACAAAAAACATAGATTTCCACTCCCACCCTCATCAGATTCAAATCAACCAAACCAAACTCACGACCACCCCGCACATACCGTCACGACCTGTGCTACTACCCATAGATACGGCGCATACCGCACGCCTTTATCAAATACTGACAACACTAAGAGAGAACATCCACACTCGCCGGCAGCACAATCTTCAATCGTCAAAGCATTCAGCGTCTTTCACCTCTGCATGTCTTCGGCTGGTGGCATGTTGGCCACCACCTACGTACGCTGCTTATGTTCTACCCGCCACGGATATCATCTCGTACATAATACTCTCAACAGGGGGGGGGGCAACTTGCACGGTCAGACTCAGTGACATCATGCTAGCGGATCCGACAATTGTTGCTGCTCGTGATGATATCTTCTTATATATTGTCACAGACACGATTCACACGCGACAGCAGTCTTCGGCACGACTTTACCTACGGCGTCGAGCAGCCGCAACACCAAGAATTCATCTGGAATATCTAAATGTTGGTGTCTAGGTATTAGATCTGGTGGAACAATAATGAAGAGCGGTCAGCGTACAACAGAGCGAGCATTGAGTGTGGCTACGGACAGGCTGGTCACGCAAAGTGCACAATAGCAAACTAGCAAACTAGCAAGCTGATAAGCTGAAGGCATCGGTAAGGAAGTAGTGAGGCAGGAGAGGCAAAAGAAGAGCCCCCAGGCGGGATCGAACCGCCGACCTTTCGCTTACGAAGCGAGGGCTCTACCACTGAGCTATAGGAGCTTACGGACCTCGACTCCAAGAGACACATTCACAGCACGAGCACCACATACACCACAATAAAAACATACGGACGAACATGCATACATCGCACTTACCGTCCATGCATACACCATACGTCAACTACTACATCACCGCCCACTCAGCGCATGCCACATTGCCACATCAACTCCTTTCCTTAAAGCTGCTGCGACGCATCGGTAAGGGCTCCGCCACTTCACACGACGCTTCGATGAGCGGAGAGATGTGTGCGAGGTGCTCGTGACGTGGTTTCGTCGTAGAAGTAAAGAAGGATGAGACGTAGCGGGGTGAGTGGGTAGAAATTGTGGATCTCGGAATGCGTATCGGTGTGTGGATGGAGTTTGCATGTGTGGACATTGGGTTTTGGTATCGGGGGAATAGCTCAGTAATAGAGCGCTGGATTCCAGTCCCAGCGGTCGGGGGTTCGATCCCCTCTTCCCTCATGCTTTAAGCTTTTGCGCGTCCTTCGCTCGTAGCTAAAAGACACTGTTGTGATCCTTTCGGCTGTAGGAAGTTAGAAATTATTATGGGACCTGAGTAGCTAGCAGAACCACGGTTCTGGCTCGGATTGTTTTCGGCGTGAGCCAAGACCCACTCACACGTCATGTTGCGATACTGTCACCACCTTATCATCTGAAGGAGTCGAAGGTAATGCCTGCGACTCAAACGATCTGAGTTTTAAGCGTCGACTACTAGCGTTACAGCTGAAGGTATTACAAGGACGTAGGCATGGTAGGTGATAAGAGAGATGATGCAGCACTCCATATTCCAATGTCGACAGCTCTCCCTGTCAAGTCTTTTATTGGAACAGATACTTTTCGCCTCGCACTTTCTTCATCCAGTAGTAAAATATTTGACTTCATTGATCCTTTTTTTTCGTTGAAGGTGCTCTTTCTCACCGTCTTGTAGAAGCTCAGCTGTTCTTTAAAAATGTCGGCTCACAGTGTTGAAAATTCCCTTTGAATGGTTTATTCCATTATATGTCAGCAGCCTGACATACACACGCATACTTCGAAGGCGAAAGAGTGGCCAAATTTTGAGCAGACTGGGTCCAGTGCACACTGAAGTCATTCCAGAGTAAGAGCATATTATCAGCGATTTAATCGGTTCGCGAAGTGGAATTTCGTAAACTTGATTAAACGTTTGTCAACTCCACCATACTATATTGCTACCGTAAATTCGGCAGGGTGGCTTGTTCTCAAGCACTTTCATTTCGTGCTAAACAGTTGTACCAAACCTGATGCGCTCGTCATTTTCATTTTTGTGAAGACACAAACACAAACGAAAAAAAGCACCGTGCTTGTTGCCACTCCAATCACCAAGAAACATGGCTGTAGTTTTCTTTGCCCTTACTTCCGCTGCGATTCCACGCTGCCTTGATACCCTTTGCTTCTTTTGGAACAGTATAAAATAGAATTACAAGCTTTACTTTTGTAAACTGAAGCTAAGACTTACCAGTTTGATCAGCATTAAAACCCTGAACACAGCTGCCTTCTACGATAAGCTGCAGCACCTCCGCTCTAAGCGGTTCGGAGGCTTCTACAGCCCTGCCGTGCTTTAGGTGGAAGTGACAGACGAAGCAGAAAACGGATTTTCCACAAGTCCACATGACTCTGCCATCTCAAAACCTTTTAGTTTTAGCATTGATCGCGATCCGGCGCGTCATTCTTGCGCAGGGCGCTGAGCCACTGTACGATATTTTTTCTGCCTTCTTCCTAAGAATTGTAGCCTTGCCACGTTCACAAAAATGAGATGTCGGGAATGGCCACATTCGCAAGCCACTTTAACCTCCATGCCGTTGCTGCGCCATTTACTTATACGCCTATTCTTTTGTCACAGGAACCAGATCGCCTGCGATATACTCCACAAGAAGCGCATGAAAATGATCGTCAAGAATAATTCCGCTGGTGATGTGGGTCTGTCCGAGTTACAAAATTGTTGGTTTCGGGATATTCAAACAAATTTACGCGACGCGGGACTCGAACCTGCGAACCCCAGATTCGAAGTCTAATACGCTATAAATTGCGCCAGTCACGCATGTTTTATACACTTGCTCCAACAAAATTTTGCTAAACATTCAGCGTACAGCTGAAACTCTAATCCAAAATGTGTGATCTCCTAAACTAGTTAAGAGTAAATGAAACCTTCAGCTACGCCTGATAGACAATTCACACAACAAGCACGCACAACAGCGCTTTCGGGGTAGTCGCGTTTAGTACTGCAAGTCTATGAAGCTAATCGCTGTGGAGGAGGGGTCGATCGTTGTGAAGGAGAATCGATCCCCAAACGTTCCCCGGCGGCAACCACGACCGATAAAGCCACGCAGGACCTTTGTACAGGCGACAGTGCACCTTATCTACCCGGCCTTAAATATGAATGTAGTTTTAACCCTGTCCCTTTACTAAACATGTTTTGATGATATAACGGACGCGCCCGAATAAAAGCTCCCTCCCGAATAATGCCCTCAATTGACCTATCGACCGGCTTTAAAAAATTGAATCCCCTCCCGAATAGAACGACGCAGATCGCTGTCCAGTCATATTTGTCAGTCTCACCGCTGCACGCTAGTGGCATCTTTATTGTGGAAAATGAGCGGGCAGCGGCAGGCAGTGAGCATTGGCCGAAAGCAAGAGGTGATTCAGTGGATCGAGACGGCGGGAGAAGGCGTCCCACTCGAGCCGTTGCGCACTTTCGGTCCCAGGGGTGGAGTGTCCATGGTGGTGCAGTGCGCCGCTGGTGGCGACTGCGCGATAAAATTTGCGCTGCTGCACCACACCAAGCTCATGTAGCTGGCGGAGGCCGCAAGCCCTTGTCGGAGACACTGGAAGAGCTGCTCTATGAGGAATTTGTGACCAAGCGCACCAAGAAGGAGAAGGTAACGCGCAGCTGGCTGGCCGATATGGCACTCGTTCTCTACGCGGATGAAGCTGAAGGGCGAGAAGCATCGCCGCCATTTACAGCATCCGATCACTGGGTCTCGAACTTTATGCGTCGCTTCGAGATATCGCTGCGCCGCCGGACAAACCTGACGGTCCTTGGCGACGAGACCCTTATGGACCGAGCCGTCCGCTACATGGTATTTCTACAAGCTCAGCTACCTTCCATCGACTTAGAAAGGACTGTTCTCATGGATGAGACGGCCGTGTATTTCGAAGACGCTCGACAGACCTCGCTGGACTTTGTCGGTGCTCGACACGTCGTGGTTCGCTCTACTGGGTTCGCTTCTATGCGAATTACTGTTGTGCTCGCTGTCAGCGCAACTGGAAGAAAGCTGCCTCCGCTTTTAGTGTGGAAAGGTAAACCTAAACCCACTTTCAAGAATAAACCAGGACCTCTTTACGTGGCTCAGCAGCCTCGTGCCTGGGTGGATAGTGAGTTGCTCAAGAAGTGGATAGATATTGCTTTTCCTCTCGTGGCGCAAGGCGAAGGGAAATGTCTAGTTTGAGACAGTATGAGAGCGCACATTTCGAAGGCGATCAAGGCGAAGTGCGCTCCCAGGAAGATCTCTATGTGTGTTGTACCCGGTGGGCTAACGCCCTACTTACAGGTCGGGGACATCGGCATCTACAAGAGCTTCAAGGATTTGCTCTATGTGGAGATCAACGCCTGGAAGGAGTCCGACCAAGTGGAGTACACCCGCTTTGGTACCCCCCGAATGCCAAGCGTCGACAATGTGTGTGAATGGGTTCGCCGTGCTTGGCGTGATACCGAAGAATCGACTGTGATGCACAGCATTGAAGCGGCAGGCTTTGCGCGTGACCCTAGCGACTGGTTCATCGCCAAGCACGACGTTTACGGCGCCAGATTCCGCGAAAAGTGGGCGGAGGAATCAAAGGATGACGAGAATGCAGACCTGCTGAATCTTTCGGCTCTGGATGACGCGCTGGGCGACATCAACCTGGTAGACGAATAGCTTTCCTCTAATAGAGTCCGTACCCCGAATACAAGCCGTTACAGCTTTTTAAGTCTGCACTATAAAATAAAGGCCGGACTATAATAGGGCGCGTCCGTTAGATACGAATTTTGAGGTAAAGGTTTGGGGAGCGGCTGAGACAATACTGACGGGTATAACATAGCCACAACCAGTATTAAAGGCCCTTATGTCGGAATCGGTATGGCCACTGACCTCTGCACATGTTACTGATACGTTTCATTTTTAAATATTGCATACGTCCGACACCCGAGTGTTCGACGGGGAATTGGCGGTACGCTTATTGGTGTCATCGTTCGCCTACGTTTGGAATAGTAACGCCTATTATGTTGACACCAAGTACCTGTGTAACGTGGCTTATGACGGGTGTGAGAAATCGTGCTTCCATGTGACTGGCATAATGGCTCCGACATCCTTTTTGTGACGGGGTCACACAGCACCTTGCGCTAGAGGAAGTTAGCTTCCGAGAGTTTACAAACTCTCAGTGAACGGCAGTTCACAGGTCCCCTCTTTATTCAAAAGAGAGCGAAGTGACCTAATTAAGGTAGAATGTAAACTGAGTATATTTATAGGTAGATAAAGCTTGGGCTTAATACAAACTATAAGTCACCTATAGAAATGCAATGTCATCAACCAATGGTTGGCTTTGGACGACCTTGGTACTTTGTACCAAATATCCCGAAGTATGACGTGTCATACTCCTGAAGTGTGACGTGTCACACTTCATGTAACCAGGGTCCACTTAGGGCTACGTATCCCCCCCACTTGTGTACGAGGTGCTCGTGACGTGGTTTCGTCGTAGAAGTAAAGAAGGGTGAGACGTGGCGGGGTGAGTGGGTAGAAATTGTGGATCTCGTAATGCGTATCGGTGTGTGGATGGAGTTTGCATGTGTGGACATTGGGTTTTGGTATCGGGGGAATAGCTCAGTGGTAGAGCGCTGGATTCCAGTCCCAGCGGTCGGGGGTTCGATCCCCTCTTCCCTCATGCTTTAAGCTTTTGCGCGTCCTTCGTTTCTCTGTCCGTCTTCCCACCTTAACAGCCGCACGGTTACAATGCTCACCATCAGCCGAGCACACGACCACGCCACCAAGCAAAAAGTGCGATACTTCTCGATTTATGCGTGTCATCCTTGCGCAGGGGCCATGCTAATCTTCTCTGTATCGTTCCAATTTTTACGGATGACCACCGAAGTGGTTCCTACCACACGCCTCGCGTCACCGACATATAGCTGCTAGCCTTGGGCCTCACATCCAGAACCACATTCGTCAAAAAGGGAAAGACTACCAGCCCAGTCCGTGCATCCACCAGCATTTCCAGATTAGCTGCGCAATGTCTTCACACGCTTGGCCACGTGTGTTGGTCGGGAACACTATCCAGCAACAAGCAGAGGTATCTATCTACCTGGTCAGCAGGCCAGGAAATAGCCGCTTTTGCTACCGCGAGTCTGCTGAGGTAAAGGAAAACGACAGCTGTGAGATTCGAACTCACGCGGGTCGCCCCATTAACTTAGCAGGCTAACGCCTTAATCACTCGGCCAAGCTGTCATCGTTATGCAACAAAAACATAGATATCCACTCCCACCCTCATCAGATTCAAATCAAATCAACCAAACCAAACTCACGACCACCCCGCACATACCGTCACGACCTGTGCTACCACCCATAGATACGGCGCATACCGCACGCCTTTATCAAATACTGACAACACTAAGAGAGAACATCCACACTCGCCGGCAGCACAATCTTCAATCGTCAAAGCATTCAGCGTCTTTCACCTCTGCATGTCTTCGGCTGGTGGCATGTTGGCCACCACCTACGTACGCTGCTTATGTTCTAACCAAGTTCAACTCTGGCAGTGAGGACGAAGCCGAGTCCGAGAGCACGCACGATGCTCCTGCGGGCTCTGCGGATAGGCACAGCCCAGTGCCCAGTGAGCACAAGGATGACAGCGTGCAGTCGCTCGCTAGTGATCAAGGTGATCACAGTCCCAGGACGTTTGTGGGCTCTGAGAGTCCGGTCGTCAAGGCTAAGGGCACTCCCAAAGCTGGTGGCGATGAGGAAGAGAATCCTCGCAAACGTCTCTCGCTTGCCGAGGGTCCTGCGCGTGCTAAGGCCTCTAAAGCCGAAGGCGCCAAGCCCTCAAAGAAGCGTACAGCCTCTAAGTCTCCACTCCGCCAGAAGAAGGAGACTCGGCACTCCCATCGGGGCATCTTCGACTCCTCGGATGAAGAGGAGGAGGAGGAGGGTGCTATCTCTGAGCCCCGGGAGGTCTCGAATGACCTCGACCAGCAGCAGGAGGATTGACAAGCTGCCCAGCGTGTGCGTGGGGGTTCGGTGGCGGCACCCGTCAGCCAGGGAGCTGCCATCAACTCAAGAGGGTATTGGCCTCCCGAGGAGAGCTCTGAGGCTGACCTCTTCTTAGAGGTTCTCGTCGCTCCTCATGGCCTTGTGGGCGGCCACACTTCTAGGGGGATCTACGAACGTGCCCTTGTTCAGAAAGAACAGTTGTTCGTTGACAACATGGAGGCTGCTCGGTGTGTGCTTCTCGCGCCACACCGCATCCCTCTCAAGGCCTTCACGACTTGTCGTAAGAAGCCCGAGACCCGGTGTGGTCTCTATCCTCTTTGGGGATACCCCTGGATTATGCCCGAGAGCTGTCCCTCGTGGAGTTCTTGTGAGGACATGTTCTGGGCATGGGTGGATACTCTTAAGTACTCACCCACGGAGTTACGGGAGCTCCATGAAGATCAGCTGCTGTCCCGTATCCTGGACCAGCGTGATCTTCGTGTGAGGTTTGCCCACTTGATCAGCAAGCGCATGCTGCCAAGGGACATCCTGAAGCGCGCGGCATCTAGCGCTTACGATGAGCGCGGGTACGAAGTGTATTCATCGTCCGTACCCCGTTCGGGCAAGAAGCTCCGGACTACTTATGAAGCTGCCGCCGCTTCTGTTCCCAGATTGCGACAGCCTTCGGGCAGTCAATCAGGAGCCGTTCAATCAGCTCCCACGAGTTCTCGGAGTGGGCATAACCCCTCCACTTTACGAGGAGCTGTCGCTTACCGCGACGCCGTTGCTCCTGGAGGATCCGCTCCACGTGGAAGTGGAC